AATGCTGTTGGATTAAGTTCCAATTAATTTCTGGGTTACTGAAAGATAACACAAATCTACTTATACCTTGGGTAACCTTAGCTGGGAGTGTAGTCTGTATATATTGGGTCTTATTTCCCTTAAGTGATCTTCCTTTCTCTAAAGCATTTAGCCTGTTTTGTGAGCCTTTGTCTATTTACTCTCAGATCATATGAGCGAGACTAATGTCCCTAGACATTTGATTTACATGATGGGCAGGGCAAAAAAAGGTAACAATTTCTGTTTGCGCAGTGATTCTTGACCTGAGAGCAAAGGCACATGGCACGTTTGAGGGCTAGGCACTGCAATGCTTTGCCTAGCTTCTGAAAACTTTAACAGGGGATAAAGCCTATGACGGTTGATGGATGATTGCAAAACTGTTAGGTTTTCTTGACTTTTCTGTATTCTTTCAATTTCATGATTTTGAAAGAAAATTTTGGCAAATAGACACATATGTTATGCTTGTTGTTATTAGGTGCCATCGAGTTGGTTCCAACTCATAGTGACCATCTGCACAGCAGAATGAAACCCTGCCCAATCCTGTGCCAGCCTCACAATTGTGATTGTGTTTGAGCCCATTGCTGCTGTCACTGTGCCTGTCCGTCTCATTAGGGGTCTTTCTCTTTTTTGCTGACCCTGCACTTTACCAAACATGGTTTCCTTTTCCAGGGAGTGGTCCCTTGTGATAATATATCCAAAGTATGAGAGACAAAGTCTGGCCATCCAGGCACATTCCGGCTGTACTTCTTCAAACACAGATTTGTTTACTATTCTGAAACTCCATTTAATACCTTTATATTCTTCAGTTCTGTAACTCAAATGCATCAGTTCTTCTATGGTCTTCCTTACTCATTGTCCAATTTATACTTGCATATAAGGTGCTCTGGTAGCATAGTGGTTACGAATTGGGCTCCTAACCTCAGGGTCAACAGTTCAAAATTACCAGCTGTCCCATGGGAGAAAGATGAGGCTTTCTGCTCCTGTAAAGAGCAGAAACCCTGTACAGGGTCGCTGTGAGTCGGAACCGACTCCATAACACATAACAACAGCAACAACGTGAGGCTAATGAAAATACTATGGGTGGGGTCGGGCACACTTTAGTCCTCAAACTAACATCTTTGCTTTTGAACTTAACTTTAAACAGGTCTGTGCAGCAGATTTCTTGGCTACTGCTTCCATGAGTGTTGATTGTGGATCCAAACAAAAGGAAGTCTTTGGCAAATTTAACTTTTCTCCATTTATCATATGCTATTTACTGGTCAAGTTGTGAGGATTTTTCTTTTCTTTACATTGAGGTATAACCCATACTGAAAGATGTAATCTTTGATCTTCATCTGTAAGTTTTCTTTGCTTTCAGCAAGTAAGGTAGTATCATCTGCATATCACAGGTTGTTAATGAGTCTTCCTCCAATCCTGATGCCATGTTCTTCTTCATATAATCGCGTGTCACTAATTATTTACTCAGCATACAGATTGAATGAAGTATGGCGAAATAATACAACCCTGGCACATACCTTTCCTGATTTTATACTGTTCAGTATCCTATTGTTCTGTTCCAATGACTGCCTTTTGGTCTATATAGAGAAGTTATTCATGAGCACAATTGAGTGTTCTGAAATACCCATTCTTTGCAATGTTATCCATAGCCTGTCATGAGCCACACAGTTGGAAGCCTTTGCATAGTCAATAAAGCACAAGTAAACACCTTTCTCATATGCTTTTAGCCAAGATCCATCCAACGTCAGCAATGATATCCCTGTTTCCACGTCCTCATCCGAATCTGGCTTGAACCTCTGTCAGTTCCCCGTCAATGCATTGTTGTAGCCACTTTTTTGAATTATCTTTAGCAAAACTTCCTTGCATGTGATATTAATGATAATGTTAGATTATTTCCACATTCTACTGGGTCACCTCTTTTGGAACAGGTACAAATATGGATCTCTTCCAATCAGTTGGTCACGTAGCTATCTTCCAGATTTTTTAGCAAAGATGAGTGAGTGCTCCCAGTATTGTATCAGTTTTTTTAAAGAGTTCATTTTGTATTCCATCAATTCCCATAACCTTGTTTGTTGCCAAGTCCTTCAGTGCACCTTGGACTTCTTTCTTCAGAACATCAACCATTTCTTTTTGATACAATGACTCTGTATTCCTTCCATCGTCTTTTGATGCTTTCTGTATCATTCTGTATTTTACCCAAAGAATCCTTCAATATTGCAAATCGAGGCTTGAATTTTTTCTTCAGTTCTTTCAGCTTAAGAAATGCTGAGCATGTTCTTCTTTTTGGTTTTCTAACTCCAGATCTCTGCACATTTTATTATTATATTTGACTCTGTGTTCTCAAGCTGCCCTTTGAAATTTTTGTTCAGCTCTTTCATCTTCTCATTTCTTCCATTTGTTTTAGCATCTGTTTGCTGGAGAACGAGTTTCAGAGTCTCTTCTGACATCCGTTTTAGTTCTTTTCTTTCTTTCCTGTCTTTTTAATGACCTTTTGCTTTCTTCCAATATGATGTTCTTGATGTCATCCCACAACTCTTCTGGTCTTTGGTCATTAGTGTCTGAAGCATAAAATTTATTCTTGAGGTGGTCTATAAATTCAGGTGGGGTTTGTTCAAGGGCATATTTTGGCTCTTGTAGACTTGCTTTAATGTTTTTCAGCTTCAACCTGAACTTGCATATGAGTAATTGATGGTCTGTTACACAGTCAACCCTGGCTTTGTTCTGGCTGATGAACTTTCCTATCATCTCTCCCACAGATGTAGTCAATTTGATTTCTGTGTATGTTGTCTGGTGAGGTCTTTTATGCAGTTTTAAAAAAAAATGTTATTTTCAATGAAGCCATTGATCTTGCAAAATTCTGTCTTAGGATTCCCAGCATTGTTTCTGTCACCAAGGCCATATTTTCCAACTACTGATCCTTCCTCTTTGTTTCCAACCTTTGCATTTCAATTACCAGTAATTATCAATGTATCCTGATTGCATGTTTGGTCAATTTCAGACTGAATAAGTTGGTAGAATTCTTCAATTTCATCATCACTGGCATTAGTAGTGAGTGTGTAAATTTGAATAATAGAGATAGTAAGTGATCTTCCTTGTATGTGTATGGATATTATCCTATCACAGACAGCATTGTACTTCAAGATTAGTCTTGAAATGTTCTTTTTGATGATGAATGTGATGCCATTCCTCTTCAGTTTGTTGTTCCTGCATAGTAAACCATTGTTGTTGTTGTTAAGTGCCACTGAGTCAGTACCAACTCATAACGACCCTGTATAGGATTTCCAAGGAGTGGCTGGTGGTCTCGAACCGCCAACTTGCCGTTCAAGTCATCCTTGTGGTCCAGTGCTTATCCTACAGTACCACACCAGGATTCCTATAGTAAACCATTTGAGTCTCAGATTCAAAATGACCCATTAGTCCATTTCAGCTTACTAGGCTATCTATTTATATACATTTCATTTCACTTTAGAAAACTTCCGTCTTTCCTAGGTTCATACTTCATACATTCCATGCTCCAATTAATAGTGGATGTTTTGCAGCTCCATTCAGCAAATGAAGGTCCCAAAAGCTTTACTCCCTCCATGTCACCACGTTCAACTCTGAGGAGGCACCTCTTCCCCATTCGTATTTTGAGTGCCTTCCAACCTGACGGGCTCATCTTCCAACATGTATCTAATGTGTGTTCTGCTGCTATTGGCTAAATATTTAAAACTAGTCCACTGCTCCTTCCTCCTAGTCTGGCTTAGTCTGGGAGCTCAGCTGAGTCTACTTCACCCTGGGTGACCCTGCTGTTGTTTAAGATACCGGTCACGTCACTTCCAGCATCACAGCGACGTGCTGGCCACCACAGCACCACAGACTGGCAGATGTGTATAGAAAGGAATCAAATGCATAATCTCATCACTCAGAAGTATTGTTAACATTTTAGCATATATCCTTTCATTATAGGCTAATATACATATGTTTACAAGGCCAGTTAATACCAATATTATTCAAATCTATGCACCATCCACTAAAGCCAGTGATGATGAAATTGAAGAAGTCTATTAACTTCTTCAGTCAGAAACTGATCAAACATGCCATAAAGATATATTGAGAATTACTGGTGATTGGAATACAAAGGTTGGGAGCAAAGAGGAAGGATCGGTAGTTGGAAAATATGGCCTTGGTGATAGAAATGATGCTGGAGAATGCATGATAGAATTTTGCAAGACCATGATATTTTTCATTGTAGGTTCCTTTTTTAAACACAAAAGTCAATTATATACATGGGCTTCATCAGACGTAATATACAGATACCAAATTGATTACATCTGTGGAAAAGTTTCATTATCATCAGCCAAAATAAGGCCAAGGGCAGACTGTGGAACAGACCATACATTGCTCATATGCAAGTTCAGGCTGAAGCTGAAGAAAATTAAAACAAGCCCACAAGAGCCAAAATATGACCTTGAACACATCCCATATGAATTTAGAGATCACCTCAAGAACAGATTTGATACATTTGATGCAGATTTGATGACCGAAAACCAGAAGAGTTGTGGGAAGACATCAAGAACATCGTACAGAAAGAAAGCAAAGTCATTAAGAAAACAAGAAAGAAAAGACCAAAATAGATGTCAGAAGAGACTTTGCAACTTGTTCTCCAGTGTAGAGATGTTAAGGCAAATGAAAGAAATGAGATAAAAGAACTGAACAGAAAATGTCAAAGGGCAGCTGGAGAACCCAAGTGTAAATGTTAGAATGATCTGGAGTTAGAAAACCATCTGGTTAGCAGCTGAGCACTTAACCATGACTCCCCCAGGGCTCTTTATACATAGGTGTATACGTTCATATGTACGTTAGTGTTTACTATTAAAAATGAGATCTTCTTATACCCAGAATTCAAACCCAGTGCTGGCTAGTTGTGGCTGACTCCTAGTGGTCCTACAGAACAGAGTAGAACTGCCCATAGGGGTTTTGAGGCGTCAGTCAGACTGCCTTCTCTTTCTCCCTTGTGGCTGATGGGTTGGACTGACCTTCTTTCAGTTAGCACCCCACAGTTTGACCCGTTTTATACAGTGTTTCCCAAGTGCCTGTCTGTGAGCCAGTTTACTCATTTCGTCCCATGCCATTGTTTGGTGACTACATGGCAAGACCAACTATGAACAATTTGCTAAGTGACCCTTTCTTGTCTCCAGGAAAAGAGGGGAAACAAAGCATGTGATAGAGCTGCCATCGCGGCCTTTGATGCCCTGGTGACCTTCTGTGAAGAACTGGGGTAGGTGATTTATGGCTATGTGGTAAGGTCGTGTCCTCCACCTGCTCATGCAGGGCAGCTCCTGGGCCACCCAGGGGCCCCTGCCTGGTGAAGGCCGCTGGGTGGGGCGTCTCTATCAGGCAGCAGTTTTCTCTGGGAGACTCAGAGACTTCAGCCTTTTGGGTGGCTTTCCAGTCCACCCTCCCCCCGCTTCTGAGTGACCCAAGTCCTGAACAATGGGGCTAGTCCTAAGCCAGTGGCATTGTGATCATCATGCACTGCACTTGGAGAGTGGTCACCTGTTGATCTGAGGCCCACATAGAAACATGGGACCCACTTATCTCTTGATGGGGGGTGAGGGGCAGTATTATGTTTTGAGAGAAATCAAATGTCTTTTCTAACAGAACACAGCCCATCCACTCGGAACCCACTAATCTGGTTTATCTGCCCCTGCTGGGAGTGGGAGCCTGGCAAGATAGCCAGACTGGTCGGGTAGGCACAGCTGTATTCTTGTATGGAGTGAGGGACATAGTATCCCAGGAGAATTCTTCACAGACTGAAAATGCTTTGCGTCTGGGTGATAACTTTGATTCATCTGGTTTCCCTCATTCTCTAAGAACCCTGGGAAATAATGGTGATGATTGTGGTGGTGCACTGTGGGAGTCAATTCTGACTCATAGTGATCCTGCATAGGATTTCTGAGGCTGTAAATCTTTGATGGTGGTGGTTATATGCCGTGGAGTCAGTTCCGACTCATAGTGACCCTGTACAGGGTTTCCGAAACTGTATATCTTTATGGGAGCAGAATGCCTCATCTTTCTCCCGCAGAACAGCTGGTAGTTTCAAACTGCTGACTTGAGGTTAGCAGCCCGCTGTGAAGTAGGTGAGGCAGAAGTTACTGCTTCCAATGAATAGATGAAGAGACACCCAGGTCAAGAGCAGACACACGTCAGTAAACCTGGGTCTCTGGTTTTCACACCCCTGGGCCATTGTGGGAGACTAGGCTCTGGAAGCATAGTACTGATTCTAAGTGCGTGGTACTAGAGTCTGGCTGATGTTTTGGACTCTTCTCTGTAAACCTGTGGTTAGGTGTCTTCCAGTCTGTTCTGACTCACAGCAACCCCATGTACAACAGAACGAAACTCTGCTTGGTCCTCCATCATCCTCACAGTCCTTACGTTTGAGTCCATTGTTGCAGCCCTGTGTCAGTCCATCTTGTTGGGTCTTCCTCTTTCTCACTGACCTACTTGACTAAACGTGATGCTCTTCTCCAGGGACTGGTGTGAACATGATTGCATGTTCAAAGCATGTGTGACAAAAATCTCACAATTCTCACTTCGATGGAGCATTCTATACTTCTTCCAAGACGGATTTGGCCTATTATTTGATTCCCACTGCCCTCCTGGACTTCGAGACCATGGCCCACTTGCTCTGAAGAGTCAGTGGTTCCTTGACTGATACTCTTTCCTTCTCCAAACCAGAACCAGCCCAAATCCATTGCCTCACGTCCACTGTGACTCAGCAACCCTGTAGGACAGGGAGAGCTGCCCCACAGGGCTTCCAAGACTCATCTTTACAGACGCAAACTATCACATCTTTCTCTGAGTGGCTAGTGGGGTTGGACCACCGATCTTTTGGTTAGCAACTGAGTGCTTAGCCATTGCGCCACCAGAGCGCCTTCCTTCTCCAAACAGTCATCTGTAATTTGGCCTCTTTGATGAAACCCTGCCCAGGTGAGGAGCTTGGCTGCGGGCCCGGGCCCACCCTTGCTCACAGCCATTGCAGCCAGAACTCTCTTCAGACACCAGCCCAGACAGGGAGTGGCCATCTTGGAGAGTGAAAGGGTCAGGTGTTGACTGTCAGAGTCCCCTGGGCTGGAAATAGCCTGAGGTGGGCCTTGTGTGGGGATGAGTCTGAGGGTCTGTGGGGCTCTCTATTGGGGGGGCTGGTGCTTAGTTGCCATCATGTTGACTCTGACTCTTGACGACCTTGTGTGTCACAGAAGGAGCCAGCACTCAGCCAGGTCTGTGCCATCCTCGCAGCAGCAGTGGACTCAGCTATTGGGCCAGTTCATCTCATGCAGCTTCCCCTCATCTTTGTGACCTTCTGGGGGCCAGCACTGTTGTATCCCAGAACCTGCTCTCTAAGCAGTCCCACAGGCAAGGGGAGTGTCCTAGGGGCTGCCCCCTGTACTCTTCCTGTCTCTTATGGGGAGCTGGGGCTTCTGAGCGATGGCTCCCACTGCCCCAGGCGCAGCCTTGTAACTGCTGACCACATACGGGTGAGGTGCCTAGATGCCTGGACTCACAGACCCCTGGGTGGAATAAACGTGGGTTTGGCTGACAGGGCCTGTTGACTGAATGGATGTGGAGTGTGCCCTGAGGAAGACCTTCCCCTACCAGACACATACCAGTTTTCTAATAGCCCCGATTTAAGCAGCGCTCCCACAGCTGCTCCATTGAGGAGGGCACCTGGCAGTGAGGGACAGAGCTGGCACTGAGGGTTCAGCAGAGGCAGCCGGGGCAGGGTCTGATTGTGGGGAGGCAGGCTCTCTAAGGGATACCTGCATCTTTAGGGCCAATGGGAAGAGACTGGACAGGGAGGCAGATAGGAAGCATGGACTACCTGGGACTGGGCTTTTTATCTTATCTCCTCAGGGAAGAGGAAATTAGGTGTGAAGCAGTGTCAGGCTGGAGGCTGGGGCCCTTTGTCTGAGAAGGAGACCTCAGGCTCACTGGGCCTGGGCTGAGGCTCTCTCCCCTCCTGGGATCTCTGGGCTGAGGCTCTCTCCCCTCCTGGGATCTCTGGGCTGAGGCTCTCTCCCCTCCTGGGATCTCTGGGCTGAGGAAACCCAACAGCCCAGCTTCCTCCCACTTAGTCATTTGTTTCTCGGTTGTTTGTTCATTTGGCCAACAAGTCTTGATTGATGCCAATTCTATGCCAGGTGTTGTGCTTTGAGCATTGGGGATCCGCTGATGAGCAGAAAGCAACACCCCCCAGCCCAGCCCAGCTTTTCTGGTGTTCATTCAAGTCAGGTGAACACATATCAGATGAACACATAAACAATGTATGATTGAAGAAAAGATAGGCAGTGTTTGAGTGTGTGTGACAGGTCTTCTTCCCCCAGTCTAGAGGGTTGAGGAAGACTCACCGGAGGAACTGAGGGGTGAGGAGGAAGCATCAGCGGGTCTAATGAGTGAAGCAGAAGCACCCAGTAAAGGGATGAGCACGTGCCAAGGCCCTGTGGCAGTGGCTGGAGGACATGGAGTACGCAAGACATGAAAGAAGGGCTGAGATTTGGGGGGAACAACTAGAGAGCCAGCCTGGTCAGAGCACTCCACTAAGGCTCTGTGAGGGAAAACACCCAGGGCCTTCATTTGGACAGAAAATGAATTCTTACAACTTAGTAGCTTTCCAAAGGAATTTATGCTTGGTTCGGTTGTTTTGCATTTCTCCTCTGCCAAGCCTTTTGGAGTCCCAGCTGAGCCTGTGAGCGCGTTCGAGGGCCTCATTGGCCAAGACTTATCTCACCTGAGGAAGCGTGAAGCCCCCTCCATGTGTTCTCAGGTGACTGGTAGCAGCAGGGTGAGAAGGCCTGATTCAGTCTCAGAGCAGCCTCTCCACCTGGCCAGTCTGGCCAACACTAAGCCCGAACCCACCTTCAACTGGACTCATTCCTAAAGGAGAAAAGAAACCTTGGCTCGGGCTCTGAGCCAGAGAGGCCGCTGCTGGGATGGATGGAGTAGCTCAGCCTTCTTCCCCTGACGCCTTTTCAACCCCCAGGGATTCAGCTGCCTCTTCACAGGAGCTGGATGCTTCACACGGAGGCAGGAGCCCGAACACAACAGCAAACAAGATGAGCAAGAGGACTGTGGCAATGAGCAAGCCAATGATGACCAGGCCCCCCAGGTCCCAAGGGTTTTGCCAGAACTCTTCTTTCCAGCTTACATTCAGATTCCTTATCCAGTCACCCATGTGAACCTGAAAGAGAGGAGATACGCCCTGAGCACAGAGCCTCACTCCCAGTGGTCTGCTGGACTGTCGCTGGCTCCTGAGCACGGGCCGGTGAGTCTTTGGCTCCAGCAATAGGGGAGCTTCCTCTTCTGCAGAAACAGGAGCAGGACTTGGCCCCAGGAGAGGCAGCCTCTGGCCTTGCTCTCCTTCACTCCTGAATAGCTTGGATGTCAGCAAGACAGACCTACAAACTCAGAATCTAAAGAGCACCACTCAAGAGCCATCTGGTTTTCCTGCCCTATTTGCCAGGCATTTGGGAGACGCCTTGAGAAATCAACAGAGGAGCTAAGGATGGCCTGACTCAAGCTGAGGCCCTAAACGGCCCTCTGGAAGTTGCTCTAATGCCTCCGGTGGGGAGTCCAGGGAGCCCATCGCCCAGGGGAGGGAGGAAGGGAGAGCAGGGAGGAATGGTTACCTGACCTGGCAGTTACCCCTCCTGTGATCTACAGGAAGGAGATTGGGCTAGTTCCTCAGGCCCCACTCTTTGGGAGTGGTATGGTCAGCAGAGGAGGCCACCAGATGACCAAAGCTTCACCCCGACTCAAGCAACTGCTAGGGGGACGGGTGTGAAGGGTGCCGCCTGGTCCTGAAAGACCATCACTGCCATCACCAAAGCCAAACAAAGGAGGGCTAGGACCTGTTGCCTAGCAACCACACTTACCCCCTCGGTTACACCCCACCCTTCTCTGAGGTCTTGTAAGGTGGCTGCTCTGAGTCCTCACTGAGAGAAAGGGAGTCCTCTGGGGGGGGGGGCAGTAGAGGCTGGGCAGGGGCTTTTCTCAGACCACCACTCACCTGGGGCTGGGGCTTGTTCTCCAGTCTGATCAGTGGCCCTCCAGCGCCGTGTAGTCTGCTTGTTTGTCTGCGGTGGCTGGTGAGTGGTTGACTCAGCGCAGGCTGGTACCTCCTGGAAGCAGCTCTGGGTGGAGACGCTTATCACCAGGAGCTCCCTGATAGCTGAGGAGGCCCACCTTCCCCCTCAGTGCCACTGCTACTAACCAACTGCCGCCAAGTGGGTTCTGAGTCACAAGGCCCCATGCATTGTCGAGTAAAATGTCATTCTAAGGTCTTCATAGATCTGGCCTTTCAGAAACAGAGCACCAGGCCTTTCTTTCGAGGTGTCTCTGGGTGTAGAAAATTCCAGAAACTGCAACCAGCCATTGTCTTCACTATAAACTGGTGGTGGGTCCTTCCCACCTGGTAAGAGAGAGAAGCTAGCAAGAGGGAATGGAGCTCAGGGCCTGCTGCCGAAAGCTGTGATGGAAACACTTGTGATGGCTGGACACTGAGCTGGGCACTCACTACATTGGGTACTGCGCCCAGCTGTGAACCAAGAGCCGTGGGCCCCGCCTCCTGGAATGTACATCGAACGTGCCTGTGCTCTCCCCTGTGTGCTAGAATCACCCGGTAGTTTCTAGAAATGCCACTGCCTAGGCTCCACCTCAGACCATGCAGCGCAATCTCAAAGTGCCCGAGCATCTGCATTTGTTAGAAGCTCTCCAGTGGCTTGAATGTGCAGCTAGGTGATAAAGATCAGTAAAATCTTCCTTAACTCCCGTGGGCTTAACCGACACCTGGCATGCCAAGTGCCTCTGTTTCCTTTAGGAAAACATCCTGAGAAACGAAGACTAAAATAAAGGTTTTTCATTGTTTCACTATAAGGCAAAGAGAGGAAAAGGAACAAGAGAAGCAGAGGTAACAAGATCTAGACGAGGGGCAGAAACCCTACTAGTTATTTTAATGGGGAGTGTAAACTACAGAGTTGCTACTAAATTTGAAGTGGAAAAGCCAAAAGGAGACATCAAGGTATCATGGATGTCACAACTGCAGGAAGGAGCCACCCAGAGGGCTCAGAGAACCGGGGTATTGTTAGACGCTCAGAGGAGGGATCAGCACTGTTCAGCTGGTGCGGCGTCTCAGAGGTCAGAGCAGAGTCTAGGTGCCAGCTCCCTGAGGAGGGATGGCACACAGCTGTCTCATTGCCTAGCACCACTCCTGTCCCCTCAATCAGCATACAGCAGTGTGTTTGCAGATTCCCGGCAGGTTTAGCAGGGCTCCTAGAGCAGAGGACAGCAGGCCGGATGGGCGAGGGAATGAGAGGCAGAAGCTTACTAAGTAGCCTCCTCTACTTAGCTTACACACATTCCTGCAGTCACTGGGCCTCCAATAACTCAGTCCTTCAGCTTCCTAAGATGCAAATCTCTCCCCCTGAAAACATTCTGACTGACACCCATGGTTTACTGAACGTCTTGGCTGGTGAGCTCGTCTGCAGTCCACCTTGTACTTAACTCTTCATCAGTTATGTTGGATGCTTATCTAGAGTCACTTGTTTGTTGTCAAACCTGTTTGTGACACTGGTTGCTGGTTTGTGATACTGGTTGCTGGTTTGTGACACTGGTTGCTGTCATTACTCAGTTGCATATAACACAACATAAACAATTCAAGCAGTGATCATACCCAAAACCCCAGTGTTACAGGTGGCAAAGTCCACAAAGATCTCACAGGACGATAACTTGGCCTAGAGCTTTTCAGCTCTTGTTCTGCTTTGAGGAGACCATTCTAGGAACCAGCTCCCACAGGCTCCCTGCTTGTAGATCTGTCCTCACAGTAAACCCACTGGCCTTACATCCAAAGAATGGCTAAGGAAAATTTGAATGGAAGTGAAGATTTTAATTCAAAATGAGATGTGTAGAGAATGATGTATCTTGTAGACAAAAGTTGCTTCCGCCGATTTTGTAGATTAATTACTAACTCCAATTAGGCAGTTCTGCTCTGATAATACCTCTGAAGGGGACACAGTGATTGGGAGAGGTGGAGAATGCTGGGAACACGTATGGCCTTGGGGTGAGGGGACTTCCCTACATTTAGACAGGAAGACGACATAAGTGTTAGAATTAGGGGCACAGGGTTAAATGGAGGGACAAGGTCCCAAGGAGCGTGAGGAAATCTTTTTTAAGGGCAAATTAAATTTGTCCCCGTGTTTTATGTGAAATTTATACTACCAGTCGTCTATCAGTTGTCATACTGTGGTGGCTTGTGATTTGCTGTGATTCTGAAAGGTATGCCACTGGTATTTTAAATACCAGCAGGGTAATCCATGGTGGACAGGTTTCACATGAGCTTCCAGACAAAGGCAGACTAGGAAGAAGGATTGACGAACTACTTCCGAATATTTAGTCTCTGAAAACCTTTTGAATAGCAGAGAAACACTGTCAGATATAGTGCCGGAAAATGAGCCCCTCAGGTTGGAAGGCACTCAAAATGCAACTGGGGAAGAGCTGCCTCCTCAGAGTAGAGTCGACCATGATGACGCGAATGGAGTAAAGCCTGTGGGAGTAAAGCTGTGACCTTCATTTGCTGATGGGGCACAACTCAAAATGAGGAGAAACAGCTGTAAACATCCATTAATAATCGGAACATGGAATGTACGAAGTATGAATTAGGAAAATTGGAGACTGCCAAAAACGAAATGGAATGCATAAACATCGATATCTTAGGCATTAGTGAGCTGAAATGGACTGGTATTGGCCATTTTGAATCTGACAACCATATGGCTTACTATGCCGGGAATGACAGATTGAAGAGGAATGGTGTTGCATTCATTGTCCAAAAGAACATATCCAGATCAGTCATTCATGAGGTGCAACACTGTCTGTGATAGGATAATATCCATGCACCTAAAGGGAAGCCCAGTTAGTACCACTGTTACTCAAATTTACACACCAACCACTGAAGCTAGTGAGGATGAAATAGAAGAATTCTACCAACTTCTTCAGTCTGATCAAACATGCTATCAAGATATATTGATTATTACTGGTGATTGGAATGCGAAGGTTGGGAGCAAAGAGGAAGGATCAGTAGCTGGAAAATACGGCCTTGGTGATGGAAATGATACTGGAGATAGCATGATAGAATTCTGCAAAATCAGTGATTTTGTTCATTTCAAATACCTTCTTTAGACAGCATAAGAGATGATTATACACATGGACCTCACCAGATGGAATACATAGAAGTCAAATTGACTACATCTGTGGAAAGAGACAATGGAAATGCTCCATATCATCAGTGAAAACAAGGCCAGGGTCAGACTGTGGAACAAACCATCATTTGCTTATATGCAAATTCAGACTGAAGCTGAAGAAAATGAAAACAAGTCCATGAGAGCCAAAATATGACCTTGAATATATCCTGCCTGAATTTAGAGATCATCTGAAGAGCAGATTTGATACATTAAACACTAAAGACCGAAGAAGACCAGAAGAATTGTGGCATGACATCAAGAACATCATACAGGAAGAAAGCAAAAAGTCATTAAGAAGACAAGAAAGAAAAAGGTCAAAATGGATGTCAGAAGAGATACTGAAACTTGCTCTCCAGTGTAGAGATGCTAAAGCAAATAGAAGAAATGAGGAGATCCAAGAGCTGAACAGAAAATTTCAAAGGTCAACTCGAGAAGATAAAGTCAAATATTAGAACAAAATGTGCAAAGATCTAGAGTCAGAAAACCAAAAGAGAACACGGTTGCTCAGCATTTCTCAAGCTGGGGGAACTGAAGAAAAAATTTAAGCCTTGACTTTTTATTGAAGGATTCTATGCAGAAAGCATCAAGAGAAGATGGAAGGACTACACAGAGTCACTGTACCAAAAAGAAATGGTTGATGTGCAACCATTACAAGAGGTTGTATATGATCAAGAGCCAATGATACTGAAAGAGGAAGTCCAAGGTGCATTGAAAGACTTGGCAAAGAACAAGGCACCAGGAATTGATGGAATAAAAATTGAAATCTTTTAAGAAAGTGAGGTGGCACAGGAGGCACTCACTCATCTCTGCCAAGAAATTTGGAAGACAACTATCTGGCCGACTGATTGGAAGAGATCCGTATTTGTATCCATTCCAAAGAGAGGTGACCCAACGGAATGCGGAAATCATTGGACAATATCTTTGATATCCCATGCAAATAAAGTTTTACCAAAGATAATACAAAAACAACTGCAAGCATACATTGACAGAGAACTTCCAGAGGTTCAAGCTGGATTCAGAAGAGGGCCTGGAACAAGGGATATCATTGCCGATGTCCGATGGATCTTGGCTGAAAGCAGAGAATATCAGAAAGATGTTTACCTGTACTTTATTGACTACACAAAGGCTTTCAATTGTGTGGATCATAACAAGCTATGGACAATATTGCAAAGTATGAGTATTTCTGAACAATTGTGCTCATGAGGCAATTCGAACAGAACATGGAACACTGAATGGTTTAACATTAAGAAAGGTGTGCAACAAGGTTGTATTCTTTCACCATATTTATTCAACCTGTATGCTGAGCAGATAATCCGAGAAGCTGGCTTATATGAAGAAAAACGTGCCATCAGGATTGGTGGACGACTCATTAACAACCTGCGATATGCAACCTTGCTTGCTGAGAAAGTCAAGAGGACTTAAAATGTTTACTGTGAAGATCAAAGAGCACAGCCTTTGGTATGGTTTACATCTCAATGCAAAGAAAACAAAAATCCTCACCACTGGACCAATAAACAACGTTCTTATCAAGGGAGAAAAGATTGAAGTTATCAAGGACTTCATTCTTCTTGGATCAACTATAAACACTCAAGGAAGCAGCAGTCAAGAAATCAAATGACGACGTATTGCATTAGGCAAACCTGCTGCACAGACCTTTTTAAAGTGTTGAAGAACAAAGATGTCAGCTTGAGGACTAAGTTGCGCCTGACCCAAGACATGATATCTTCAGTAACCTCATATGTATTTTAGAAGAATTGATGCTTTTGAGTTATAGTGTTGGAGGAGAATATTGAAAGTGCCATGGGCTGCCAGAAGAACCAACATATCTGTGTTGTCAGAAATGCAGCCAGAGTGCTCCTTGGAGGCCAGGATGGCCAAACTTCATCTCTCATACTTCGGATATATTGTCAGGAGAGACCAGTTGCTGGAGACGGATATCATGTTTGGTAAGGTGGAGGGTCAGAGAAAAAGAGGAAGACCCCAGCGAGGTGGACTGGCCAAATGGCAGCATCAGTGGGCTCAAACATGGCAACAATTGTGAGGTTGGCCCAGGATCGGCCAGTGTTTTATTCTGTTGTGCATGGGGTCGCTATGAATCAGTACCAATGCGATGACACCTAACAACAACAAACTATACTTTGATGAAAATCCTTAACTGTCATTTGCTTTAAAACGTTAGGATTTTTATCAGAGAAAACAGGAGAAAGCTGGTTTTGTGTGAGTGCTGCCAAATCGTGCTAATGAGATTCATGTACTGGTGGCTTTATTTTGAATTGAACATGGTACCGATAGAATCCCTGGGTAGTACAGATGGTTAATGTGCTTGGCTGCTAACTGGAAGCATGGTGGTTTAATTTCGCTCCAAGATACCTGGCAAGAAAAGCCTAGAAATCTACTGAAGTATCAGCCACTGAAAACCCTGTGGGGCACAGGTCTACTCTGACACACGTGGGTGTACCATGAGTTGGAGTTGGCTCAGGGAGGCTGGTTGGGGTTTGGTAATGGACAGACCACACCGCACAGATCCCAAGTGTGTGTGGTGGGGCGGCGGGGAAGCTGGCCAGGATGCTGCAGCAGTGGTGAGCCCACACAAGCACCGAAGGTGACTGGGTGAACTTTGACAGTAGGAGCGGAGAGTTGTGGCAGTCAGAAATCGTCAGACATTGTCCAGGCCCAGAACGCAGCCCACGGCCACCCCTTTCCTTGACCACTATCTGTTCCAGGCAGCCCCTGGCTGGACCTTTCGGCTGCTATTTTCTGGATCAGGACCACAGTGGGGAACTTGCTCCCTCCCCTCCATGCCCATCCTCCCTAGAGAAGCCCATGCCAAGGGCTACCTGTCCAGTGTGTGGGTGTGGGTGTGGGTGCCCCAGGCTGCTGTCAGATCTGGCTTGTTACCAGTGTGATGTGAGTCTGCCCAGACTCTGCCCACCACTGAGGGAAGCCAATGATGGCTAGGCCCAGTGTGTAGGGACGGGACAGACCTCTGAGGTCAGGGACAGCATCTCATTGGGCTCAGTGTCACACACTGCCTGGCATTCGGGAGGAGGGTGTGAATGAGCTACCACCCCATGGCCCTCTCCCCACAGCTGGGCCAAGCGGCTCAAAGCTTCCCCAGCAAAGGACTCGGGGGACCTGTTCTTGGTGCTGAGGAACACGGGCAGCTGCCCTGAGCTGAAGGCTCCTAGAGGCCCTCCAGATGCCGTGCTGGGACTGAAGAAGATGGTGTCCTTGCCCCTCCTTGACCCCTGAGCTTGTACTTCTTCTGGGAGGAGGATGGTTTGACCCATCTGCTGACAAGGGGATTCTGGGGGGGGGGGGGGGGTTTGGAATGTCCTTTGGAAGGTAATAGGAGCGCTTGTTGGCCCGGGAGGCCTGGGGTGTGGAGGGGAGAGCAGCAGCTCTGGCTCTCAGCTGCTTACACGTAGGCCCGCCACTGTGCATTGCGAGGCTTCACGTCCTCACCTCGAAAACGGGGATAATAATGGTGTCTGCAGCATGGAGGTGTGGTCGTGATTCAGCGAGTTTGTCTGCATCAAAATTCTCATTAAAACAAAGCCCACTGTCCCTGACTCCATCATTACCACCACCATCCTCTCCATCACTGTCCTCGGGGAGGGGATAGGCAAAGGCTTGAATTTATTCTCCTTTTTTACATTTCGTATGGAAACACTTCCTCTCGGGGTGTTTACCAAAACCTGTCTAGTGAGTCTGTGGAAATCAGGAAGTGAAACCAGTCAGTAAGAGCTTGTCACCTGCCCAGCCTGTCCCTACTAGTGCTGCCTGGATCGCCAGCTGGCCTCCCCTGCCCACTCCCAGTTGTCTAGAGGACAGGGCTTTGCTCCCAGGTAACCCAGGTGTGGGGAATGTGGCCCACAGTGACAGAAGCCTGTAGAAAAGACTGTGGCTCTGGGGGGTTCTTGGGAGGGCCAATCCCTGATCATACCCTGCAGTCCTGTGCCCGGAACCCAGGCTCTGCCTTGCCCCATGGTCATCTATGGAGCCTGTACCTTCCCTCGTTCCTGGGTTGGTTCCACCTGCAAACTTCTCTGGGAGACAGAGTCAATGGGGGAGGGGCTGGGAAGGTGCTGTGTTTCGTTGGGCCTGTCTGTAAAACAAGGACTTGTGGTGTTCCGGGTTGGTGCTGACAGCTCACATTGTCCTCCCAGCCTGCCCAGCACATGCTGAGTGCCCACATGGCTCATCTTAGTTTACTGTAGGGGCATGCCCTGGGAAGGAGGTACAAATGATATGGAGATGTCATGCCACTGACCTACATTTACAGAGCCCATGAGAGGCAGAGTGAGGATTTGAACCCTGAGAGTTGGATACAGAAAGGGTATTCTAAGGGTGAGGGGGTTGGGATACAGACAACACTAGGGACTGTACCTCTCTTACTTCAGAAGTTTGGGGTGACTAGAGACCTGAGCCAGCAGGTGAGGTGTGGGCTTGCGGGAAAAGTGACTGACCGGCAGGGGGAGTGGGCATTAGCTCCTGAGCCTGACACCTGTCTGAGGTAGACTGCAGAGTGGGCATCTGGGAGCCAGAGCGTGTTGGTGTTTCCGCCTCCTCTCCACTTCCCCCCATGTCACTTCTGGGCACTGGGGCACAGGAGCCTGGGAGGACGGGTCACTGATCATACCCTGGAGTTCTGGTTCACCACCCTCCCATGCCCAGAGCCTTCAAGGAGTCTGGTGCCACAGAAACACATAACCCGAAAGCTGTTACTTGGAAAGAGATGGGCTAACGCACTGACAATTCCCACTCTGGTGCGGATCTTGGTATCCAGTCGCTCTTGCCAGAAGTCCCTCTGATCGACTTGCACCATCTCTTTGACAGTCCCCCAGCATCAGCTCCCCACAGGTGTGGGCATTTTTCCATCAAGAGTTGGGCCCCTTCCCCTTTTTTGTCCAAAAGTGCAGATAGACAAAGAATCCAGTCGGGGGATAGTTTGCTGCCTTCTCCTCAGCCCTTGGTGCATACTGGGAGTTGAGTCTTTTGCATCTGACAAACCTGAGTTCTCAGAAGAGTCCAGTGTCCAGGCACCTGGACCAGTAGCTCTTTGTCCTGGGCTGAGTTGGGGGCTCCTCCCAGTGTTGGCATCTCTCCCGGAAGGCTAGCTAGTGGGCCGCACTTGGATCTTCCTGCCACTGCGCTGCTGGGGGCAGCAGCAGTGGACGCAACAGCAGCTGCAGGCGATCAGCATCAGCAGCAGGACTGTGGCTAAGGTTAGGGAGGAAGGAGGCCGAGAGCACGGAAAAATCAGAAAAGGGGGAGAAGGAGGAACCCCAGCTTCGGAGGGAGCCCCTCTGGAAACGAGGCCTGCCTGGGCCTGCCCCCCAGCCTTCTGCTACCCAGAGCTTTCTTAGGTCCTCAGCCTGCCCATCACTTAAGCCGCAGGGAGGGAGTCCCTTCCCTGCCCTATTCTCCTTAGCTGTCATGTCCTCCTCCATCTGTGGATACCCAGCCCCTGCCCCCAGCCCTGGTGGGCGGGCCCAACTCACCTATGAAGAGGACAAGGATGGAGAAGGCCACAAGTTCCACGGGCTCCGCCTCAGGGAGCCTCTGCAATTTGAGTAACAGTCTCTGGCCCACAGCCTGCATCTCCTGTACGAAGCTGGGGGCTGCCATGGTTCACCAGGTGCCTGCCCGCCAGCCAGGCTGAGCCAAAACAGACAGAGCTCCTGAAGCTTCCTGGGGCGGCTCCGAGAGCCCGCCCTCTCACTCCCGTGGAACGAGTTCATCTGGTCTCACCCAGAAGGAGGAAGGGAGTGGGGGCCCATTGCTCAGTGGTACCCTTGGTCCTCACCTAGCTGGCCCTGCTCAGTGAAGTGGGGCCCTGTGAGCTCTGCCTCCTGGCCAAGGCCAAGAGCTTTCTGACCTTGAGGTGGGTGACCTCATGGCTGCCTGCCTGTCCAGAGACACCACTCGGGTTCTGCCAGATGCCCCTGACTGGCATGCACCCCGCTGGCCCCTGGGTCATTCAGTGCTGTGGGTGCCTCCCCCAGATTCCCGCCTGGAAACTCTGTTATGTAGGAGCTTCTGTCCAGGGTCTGCTGTGGGTGGAACAGACTGGAGGAGGTGGCTTTGGGGATGTTAGTCTGGGTCCCCCACTTCTCCCACCCGTCTAAAGAGCCTCCATACCAGCCTGGTTTCTTTCTTCACATGCCCTTGCCCTGGAGAAGAGCAATGCCACTGTGCCCCCTGTGAGTCCCAGACCTGGTTGAGCCAGCCAGCGTCTCCCCAGCCAGCTCTGACCTGCTCTGCTGGCCAGAGACTCCTCCCACTCCACCCCTGCCCCAGGTATGCAGCCACTCAGCCCATGACCAGAGCCACTTCCTGTCTCAGAGTGCCCAGGAGGCACAAGGCCCAGCCCCGAGTTTGTGAGTTGGGGTGAGTGGAGCATCAGAGTGCCCCTCCCCTCCCTCTGTGGCTGGAGGAGAGGGACCAGGGGACGGCTTGTGTCCACCCAGCCAGAACTAGCCCACCGTGCAGGAGGCAGGACTGGTGCCAGGCCCTACTTGTGTTGTTTCCAGCCTTGTCCCTGGTCACAGCCAGGCAGTCTGGCCCTCTTGCTTGGGTTTTCTTCCAAGGTGACTGCAGTCGGCTGCTCCTGCTGCAATTGCTTAGAGCCATCTGGAAGGTCACTTCATGGACCCTCCATGTGTTTGTGCCACCTTGGGGTCTTCCTAGTGGTGTCACCTCCCCTGTCTCCCCAATCCTCCCAGAGCTGAGCTGTGGAGACTATTCTTTTAAGCAATGCTGGGGTGTAGCTGATAGTGGGGTGCTGTGGAGAGGGAGGTGGGGTGTAGCTGATAGTGGGGTGCTGTGGAGAGGGAGGTGGGGTGTAGCTGATAGTGGGGTGCTGTGG